ACGCAGCGACTGGACTGGACACAGCGACCGGACCGGACACTACTACCTGGCTAGACACAGCAACTGGACTGGGGACCTGGGCCGGAGGGGACGCAACGACCTGAGGGGAGGACGCGACCGGGGAGCGCTCGGTGTGGAGGACGTAGAGACCGGAGCGGGGCTCCCTGGTGAACGTGGCCAGAACAGCACCTGTGGTAGCGTCTGTTCAGACTGCAGTCCGCCCACCCCCCACGAAGGTAACCGTGATCCCCCTGTCCTGGAGGTATCCAACACCCACCAAGTTCCGAGTGAACGAGGGGATGTGGAGGCCGCGCAGGACACCAGAGGGGACCACAGGGCACGGGAGGGTGGTGGAGCTACGCGCAACGGCTGGTCCAGAGGTAGGATCAGCCAGAGCCACCAACACAGGTGTGAGGAGTGGTGTAAGGGTCGTGTGGTCGCGGAAGAAGCACTGAGACGCGCCCGAGTCCAGCGTGAACGACAGGGAGGCCTCAGCCGGAGGGTCACCTGACCCAGTCGCTACACAAGCACCTAGAGCAGCAACACAAGCACCTAAGCTAGACAGGCACAAGGCTACACTAGCAGGAGGCAAGCAAGCGAAACTACGAACACGCGAGCACACAGATCCATCAGCACTATAGTCAGCATCAACATACAAAGCATGCTGACGCGCATCGTCCATGGATAGATCAAATACATCAATCTTACGTGCTAACAGACGAGACCAGCGAGGCGTGACCGCCAGAGGGCCCCAACTGTCAGAGGTCCACTGATGATCCCCGATTGATCCTAGGGAAGGGTTACAGGCTCGTTGTCCTGGGGGGTTATGGGCGCACTGACCCGCTACTTAACAAGCCCTTTTATCCCAATGGTCTAGTGGTTGGGATTCTGACATGGTATCAGAGCGAAGGTCTCGGGTTCGAATCCCAGTGTGTGCACTTCGGGCATCCCAGTGCGGGGGGGTGTCAGAGGTCCACTGATGATCCCCGATTGATCCTAGGGAAGGGTTACAGGCTCGTTGTCCTGGGGGGTTATGGGCGCACTGACCCGCTACTTAACAAGCCCTTTTATCCCAATGGTCTAGTGGTTGGGATTCTGACACCAACGAGCCCGGTAGAGGGCGTCGAGGCGGCGGAAGTACCGCGCGGCAGAGTGGTCGTCGCGACCACAGAGACAGGGGCTGCCCGGCCCGGTGAGGCACCAGTGGGTGCAGGGGCCAGCGTCACGGCGAGGGGGGCGAGGGGCCCAGCTGGAAGAGTTGCTGCTGCGGCCGGTGCTCCCAGGGCCTCCTGGACCCCACTGCGGCGGGGGACCCCAGTGCTGCTGCGGACCCCACTGCAGCGGGGGCCCCCACTGCTGGAACTGCTGCGGTGCCTGCTGCTGCTGCTGTCCCAGCTGCTGCTGCTGTCCCTGCTGTGGCTGGTGCTGCTGTGGCTGCTGCTGCTGGGGGGCAACGCCCCCACCGGTCGGGCCACCACCTGTGGGTGGGCCTGTCTGTCTTGTGCCTCCTCCAAGGCCCCCTCCCCCTGGTGCACCACCGCCGCCGCCGCCGCCTCCGCCACCACCGCCGCTCCCACCTCCACCGCCACCTCCACCGCCGCCTCCACCGCCTCCACCTCCCCCCTTCCCGCCCTTCTTGCCACTCTTGCCCCGTTTCTGCCAGTCTGCGGCAGAAACGGCAGCAGTGTCCCCAGAAACCGACACAGCAGCAGAAGCGCGGGTAGCAGTGAAAGTGGGAAGCTGAGGGGCGGCACACCCCGCAAAGAGACGGGGGGCCACCGCGTCAGTGGCGGAGGCAACGGTGAGGAGGCTACTCTCGATCGTCCCGAGAGCAGTCTCAAGGAGATCGACAGTGAGCTCAGTGGGGTGCTTCTGGAGAAGCGCGTCGCGAGCAGTGGCAAGGCGGTCAGGGAGGCGGGTGACTAACCAGTGCACAGTGAGCCACATGGGGGGGGGAGCAGCAAGAAGCTGGGCGTCGGTACAGGCCGCACGGAAACCGGCGTCAAGTGAGCGGAGGTGAGTCACGAGGTCGGACACAGTCGCAAACGAGCCGAGGTCGGGAAACACGAACGGCATGAGGAGGCGACTGAGGGAGGCAGAGGAAGGGGTGGAATAGCGTGCAACAACAGCAGCCCAAACCCCCTGAGCTGTCTCCACCTGGTCAAAGTGGGCGGCCTCAGTCGGGGGGAGGAGCTCCGTCAGCGCAAGAGCGGCGGCAGCGTCGCGAGAGTCCCACACGTCCCTCGCCAAGACACGACGCTCGTAGTCCGCCTGCGCCGCAGGAGTCGGCTTTGGGTCGTTCGGGAGGGGGGCGGGGGACAGGGGCGCTTTGAGGGCACCCGACGCGTGGGCCCACAAGGTGGCGCCGTCCTGACGCTGACTGGTCAGGTAGCGCGTGGCCTGGCGCTGCCAGGTACTGAACTCGATCGGGCGTCCCTCCGCATCGAACCGAAGGCGGTGAGACTCCATACTGGTCCACATACACCAGGAGCATGAGAAACTGCTCCTTCTCTTGCAGCAAGAACAAGCTGTGATCACACTCACTCTTCTTGAAACCCCCAGCCAGCAGTGTCTCCTCCAACTTGTGGTACCATGCGCGAGGAGCCTGCTTAAGGCCATAGATGGCCTTCTTGAGCCTGCACACCCTGCCGCTCCCATCATCCAACCCCTCAGGCTGCAGCATGTACAGCTCCTCTAGGATGATCCCATTGAGGAAAGCAGTTGTGATGTCCATCTACTTGATCCTCCATCCACGGTTTGCAGCCATTCCCAACATCACCCAAGTGACCGGCGGAGCTAGTGGCGAGGAGCACGGAGTGACCTGGGCTAGGCGTGAAACGGCGAGGAACTCCAGGTATGGGCGCTAGAGGCGAGGAGCTAGTGACCACACGGGTCGAACCTAGGTGACCGGCGAGAGAAGCGGCTGCCAGCCGCTGAACTAGAGACCACTGGCAGTAAGAATGGTTGGGGCTCAGCGAACAGGGTGGTGGTGGGGAAAGGGACGAGTGCCAAGTGTCGGTGGGCGTCGGTAGGGCCCAAGCTAAGGTGAGGGTGAGGGCTAAGGCGTGGGCGCGAGCTCGACCTGTGGGAGGCACGGAGGGCGGGGCTAAGCACGGAGGGCGCGGACGGCGCAAAGGGCGGAGCTAAGCACGGGGGGGGGGGGGGGCGCGGACGGCGCGGAGGGCGGGGCTAAGCACGGAGGGCGCGTGGCGTGGGGTAAGGCGCGGGCTAAGCCACGGGCTCGGGCGCGGGCTAGGCGCGGTCTAAAGCGCCAGGCGTGGGCGAAGGAGAGGGCGCACGGCTCAGGCCCGGGATGGAGGGTGCGAGAGGGGCGGAGGCGTGCTAGGCAGGCGGAGGCTCCGCGACGAGCTAAGGGCAGGGCGCACGGGGCCCGCGACGAGCTAAGGGCAGGGCGCACGGGGCCCGGGACGAGCTAAGGCAGGGCGCACGGGGCCCGCGACGAGCTAAGGGCGGAGGCACGAGATGGAGGGCGCGGAGGGCGCGCTTCAGAGGGCGCGGAGGGCGCGGAGGTTTCGTTTTGGAGGGCGCGGAGGGCGCGAAAACGAGGCCCGCGGGGGCCGTCCTACCCGCGACGAAACGGGGCCTAAGGGACGGGCGCCTCGGGACCGGCTAAGGGAGGGAGCGGAAGCGTGGGAGGGAGAAACATTGCGTACTCTAATACCATCTCAAGTTAGGCTAGGAACAAGTGTCGAGAGAATTGTGTGAGTCAATAGGAACAATGGGATACAAGTCGACCTAGAGAATGTTGTACCCTTTAGAGGGCAACTCACTGTAGCCTAGATAACTAACATCTATAACATATAAACATTTGACATTGTAGGCTAACCCACTATAGCCTAGAGAGAACAGGAACATACAGTTTGACAGTTAGAATAGTAGGACAGGAATGAGTGACTAAGGAATGGAAGGGGTACATGATGGGTATGGAGAGAAATGCTGTACCCCTAAGGGGCAACTCACTACAGGCTAAATTGACATATGCAATTATATATTTGACATTGTACACGGTGAAGTCATGTGCGATGCAATGAACCAGAAATTTTCTTGCACTTACACATGAGTACGGTAATTAAACTTGGGTATGTGATCAAGCCTATGCACGTCTGTTCGTGCTGTGTTTAGAAATGAATTGCCTTGACATTCAAATTTAGATAACACAGAATACAAGAAGTGTCTAAGACGTGTTATTGTATGCATTCTATCAACGCGTGTACATTTGATTTATTTTTTGGTGATTACGTCACGCGTGCCGGTGGTTCGGCTCGATGTGATCATGTCACGCGTGCTGTTTGCCCTGGCTGATACCAGCGATTCCACAGTTTTTTCAGGAGAGAGTGCACCTGAACCAAGCGGAGCGCATGCTAGCACAGTAAATTTGCTGACCTTCACCCAGAAATTGCCATGCCGCCGACCCCTGAGCCAGGTGCGTTTGGGGTTCTACTTTTCCGTCATGCAATCCCCGCACCTGGGGCAAGGTTCGAGTCGCTGTTGTAAATCAGGAAACCATGTGGGGAATTGGATGCAGAATTGCTTCCCCATTGGATGGAGAAGTTTCATCATCCGAGTCGCCTTCACAGGTGGTCTGGTGTGAGCAGGCATTCGTGGAAAAAACCGAGGCGCATCTGGTCATGGTTGGGGTCACTGTTATGGTGGTGATGGCGGTGAGGTGAGCGAGCATGCCAGATAGGGTGGTGTGCTGTTGTTGAGGTCACACATGCAGTCCCCCTCCCACTGTAGCACACATCTCTACTTCAAAACCTCCCCAGAAGCTGAATTGCACAATCACGCACAGTAGCCTGGTTAGTGTGTCACGACTTTCGAGCCACAGCCCTCAACACACAGGTCGTCCAAGACCAGTCCAAGCACTTTGATCTCTAATGCTTGCATGAAGTGCCTCGCCTACAGCAAGACTTCACAGCATGGATCCATACCAGGTCGGACCGAATCTAACAGGCTCCACAAAGGTTGCGCCGTGTGACATGCAGTCTCACAACTTGGCGTCTGGCACGGCCTCGTTAGCGACATTCGCGGCGCTGTCGCACGACATCTCGTCGTCCGTGGCGTCCATCCTGCTTTCCACCACCAGCGCCGCCATCCATCCGCACCTCTTTCAAGCATGGAGCTTCCCGCCCAGTCCCCGCTCCGACGCGCGCGGGGCCTTTACCCCCGATGATATCACCTACGCCGCAGCCACATCTGCGCTCAAGGATGCGCCGTTCGTGGCAGCAGTAGGCGTGGGTGATAGGGTAGATGGCAGTGCTTGCAGGTACGCGGGGGACGAACAGCTGCCGGCCCTTCTGGGCGTCAGCTGGTGCGGGGTACAGCAGCCGGGGGAAGCGGAGGTGCTGAAGCAGCCGGCGCAGCGGAGCATCAGCCCTACCCGTGAGCGTAGAAAGGCCGCCCCCTCCAGTCCTGCCTCCAACCGCCTGCACTGCAGTTCCGAACTCACCTCGGCATCGCACCACGTGTACAACGCGATGGCCTCACCGTATTCCCAGGGGCAGCACGCACGGTGCGACCCGCAGAGTGGGGCGTCCAGTGCGACCAAGGAACCCTCGTCTAGTCCCACGCATCAGAGTCCCACAGCCGCTTCCCGTGGCGGAGCCGACATTCCTCGCACCGCCTACCCCTCGCCTCTCGCTGCGCCTGGTGTGCCCCATCTGTTTTCGGCCAAACCGCCTCGGCCTCCGCGGCACGGCAGCAAGGCGGCAAGCAGAGGCTTGCGAGGTGGCGAGTCAAGAAAGGCGCCCGCAGGCGGCGCTGGTCGGCTGAGCCGTCTCATGGGCGGGCGGCGGAAGGCGAGTGGCGGGGAGGCTGCGGTGATGATGCCGCTGATAATTCTGCTGCTCGTTCTCTTCCTCGTGCTTACCATTGTCCAAGGTACGCCCGCCATCCGCACCATTGTCCGTTCTTGACTTGAACCCGTTCACAGAACCGCTGGAGGCTGAGCAGCCATAGGGACTAGCGCGGCGATCGTAACGTGCCTTACCTGGTCTTCCCCACTGTCTTTCCCCTGCAGGCGTGCTGTCAACCGAGCAGGCGAGACGAATACTCACGGATCCGGCACCCCGCGCGCAAAACCTGACTGGATTGACATGGCACGACCTGGTTGGCCAAAGGTGGAACGGGAGTAACAATAGCACATCGTCGTCGTCGCACGATCTATATGACATGTCGGATTCACCTTATATCAGCATGAACCGCAAGTTCGGCGGGTCACCTCCTTACGTAACGTCACGCTCGAAGCAGTCCCTGGGGCACAACCCTCCGCACACTTTAGGGCAGCAGGCGAAGCTGAGTCTGGCTGGGATGGCGGAGCTGAGTCGGGTGAAGCATATGGCCACATGGCCGCTCAGACGACTGCTCCGCTGAGTCACACCACAAGCTCCAGGAATACTCATCCCAGTTCAAGCTTTGTGGACTACATATTTTCTACAAATGGCTTCTATTTATGTCCGGGCACTTCTGGCATGTGCGCCAAAGAGCGCTACTAGCCCTGTACTATATTGTTATACGCTAGTGTATATTGTTCAGTGATGAGGAACGTACAAAACTGCTAAATTTAGTACAATGAAGCTGCACCACGCTGGAGGGAACAACGGGAAGGTCGAGCTGGAAGCAATGGTATTTTCCACCTTTTTCTAACTGCAGAATTCAAATTATTGCTTACACTGTGTAGTGTGTGTTTTTGAGAGCGAAATTTAATGGGTATAAGGTTTTAACTGTATATATTTCTTGAACCTCGATGAGCTGAGTACACTTCCACGTTCTGCTTATATGAGAGTTTAAGTTCCATCGCATTCCTTGTGGAATTTGCAAGTTCCCTGCATGTCCACCACCACCATCGTTCCCCAATCGCTTGATTAGCATCGTGGTCAATAAAAGCTCGCCACCACTCCGTTCTTCCGAACCCTCCGCGCCTTAGTTCGATCCTCGCGTTTCGGCCGCTTCTAGTTGCCTGAAACCGGTCTCTCCTCTCCAGGAGCCATGTCCGTTGCCATCCGCCGAGCATTCCTCCACGCCCGCGGAGTCCGTCAAGCGTCGTTACCGTCGCTATGTAGCCCGACTCTCCCACACTCCGCACCTGGCGGGCTCCCTCCGCTCGGTGGTGCTCGCCCGCTGCATCAGGTCTGTCATACCTCCGTGTCCTCTCCCCAGGCACATCCCCTCCTCCCCGTCCCAGTTCCGTCTCGTCTCTCATAGCTCTCAAACACGCCCGCGCGCGAGCGCAGCGCACGCGTATTACACGAGTATGCATGTGCAGAGTCGGCGAGGGCCATGTTTTCATCAGCATCGTCCGCATGGCTGTACATAGCAGCGCCGGCGAGCGGGGGTGAGGCGACGGTAAAGACGGGAGATTATGGCCCGCGATTTTCTCTTTCCAGTCTCTTCGTTTTCGTAAAAGGGAAATCACGCTCCCACCCCACCCATCCTTGGCCAGAGTCACGCGTGTGGAGCAGCGAAGCCTGCGACATCGGAGTCGGTGGCGGCGCGCATGGTGGAGAAGCGCAAGCAGGAGAGACAGCAGAACGCGGTGCTGCTGTCCATGCTGGCAGTGGGCCTCTCCATCTCCGGCTACTTCTACTACACCTCGCAGATCCGCCCCTACTCCCACTCCTCCCCTGTCACCGCCTTCCCCCTCACGCCCTCCACTCGCCTCCCCCCTGCTCCTGGCCCACAGCCAGAGCAGGGGTCCGATGTGGCCAAGAGGTCATAGCAGGTATAGTACCTTGCCTTCACTTCTTCATTGTGTCACAGCTCCACAAGACAAGACTACCAGTAGTTTGTATCACATCTGTGTGCAACACAGATTCGTGCTGCCCAAAATGGAGGATGGGAAGTAGGAAAGGCTTGATGGGTATCTTTGTACAGTTTTATAATGGTACTGCTTAGTTTGCATAGTAGTCCATAAATTTGGTTTCCAGTCTTGGAAGCTTATAGAAGTACCTGATTAAAGGCTAGTTGAAACCTGCACAGATGCTGAATTCATGCCACTCAATGTATATCTTCAATTCAATTTAAACATCCCATATGTAATGTTCGAATGGAGCGTTCACATAGAGAGTACAATCTGATGCGATATTGCGCCTTACGCCTCCACACTCTTTCCAATGCCACCCTTCCCTGAACAAGATTTGAGTTCGGTGTGTCGTTTCGATGTCTTTCGCCTCGCCCATTTGCTTCCTCGTCAAATCTCGTGGAGTTCCGTTACCACTCTAGCACTGAAATCGCATTGGCAGCGACAGCGGATGGCCTGAGGCATGTCGCAGCACCGCCTCACACAACACGTGGTTGCACGGGCAGAAGTGCCCCCAACAGCAATGAATTTGCTGGTCGCCATACGTACAGTAGCATAAAAGTCGCCCGAGAATCGAACAAGTACCCGTCCACACCAACTGCATTAGTCAGAGATCATGGCCTTTTGGGGTTCTTGACTGACCCGAAACGCCACTTGCGGCCCCCTGATGCTCGGGTGTGTGCACCGCGTAGTGGCTCGAGGGGCGGCACGGCTGGGGGCGTGGGGCGGGCAAGGCGCGAATGGCTATTCTTCGACGCGCGGCCCTTAGCAGCCAGGTCGCGCCGGATACCGAAACAGTAGTGGACAGCCGAGCTTCCTTAGTCCGCCCGTTACAGTCACAGGACACGAGTAGCCTATTAATGGAGGAGCCTGGCAGTCCCAAGGCTCGCCGGCGGCGAGTCAAGTCGCGCGAGATGCACGAGGAGTGCACGTCGGCGCGGGACGAGCGGAGAGCTGGCGAGCGGCACGAGCGGAGCAACGGCAGCGCGACCAGTTCCGCTGGTACGCGCTTGCTGTTCCCGCCTCGCTTGCTATCCCGCGTCACTGCGGTGATGCCTCCAACTGAGCGCATCCAATGCATTCTCCCGTACCACGCCCTCTCACCCTAATCATACACCCCCTAATCCATTCCCGCATCCCCCCGCCTCCCCGTTTCTTCGCTCTGCCCGCCAGCAGGCGGAGAGGGGTACAGCGCGGATGCGCGGGGCGAGCAGGAATACGCGACAGGGAAGCAGCGTGGCGCGGAAGTGGGCGCTCGAAGGCGAGGGCGCAAGCTCAGCGCGGACGCGGCGGAGGAGAGGGGCGCAGAGGGCACGTGGGGGGCGGCGAATGTATGGGCGGGAGAGCAGGGGGAGGCGGAGGAGAGCGGGCAGGTGGAGGCGGAAGATATGAGGACGGAGTGGCAAGGGTGGGCGGATGGGGGGAGGGCGGGGATGTGGGGCGAGGGGGGCGGAGGTGCGCATGCGAGGCGGCCCCTGTCGCATGCTGTGTCGCTGGGTGTCTCTCTCGCGCGCCACCTGCAGCAGCAGCCAAGGGCGGGGGCGTGGGGCGAGGCGCATGGCGCAGGAGCGGAAGAGGAGGAGGAGGAGGCGCATGGCGCAGCAGGGCGAGGCGGGAGAGTGTTGGCGGCTGGTGCGCTGAAACCTGCTGCGCCCGTCCCCATCCCCATCCCCACCCGCGCGCCCCTCCGCCTGTCCCGGGGCATGAGTCTGGAGGCGCACGCCTTTGGCGACCTGTACGCGTCGCCCCCCTCGCCCCCGCGCCACGCTGCACCCCACCTCAAACCTGCCGCTGCCCCCTCGTCCCCACCAGCGCCCACAGCGCTGGCAGCGCGGGTCAGCCCGGCGCGCGGTGCACATGGGCTGGGTGCGGACGGGGGACGTGAGGGGCCGCGGGGGCACGGTCACGGGGTGAGCGAGGGCGGTGGTGCCGCTGGGGGAGTCGCTGGGGGGCATGGGGGCGCGCACGGCCACGGCGGGCTGCCGAAACCGCCTGGCAAAGGGGGAAGGGGGGGCGCGGGCGAGGGCAGCAGCAGCAGGCGCGCAGGGAGGCATGGGCGGTCGGCGTCCGTGTCTAGCATTGAGGAGGGCTCCCTGGGGGGCTTCCCCACGGGCGCGTCGCCCACACGCGCAGGGGGCAGCCAAGGGGGCGCTGTTACGGGGCGGCAGCAGAGGGGTGATGGGCGTGGGGAGCAGAGGCATGCGCGGTCGGGGTCAGGGGGGAGTGCAGTGGGGGGAAAGGGCAGGGCAGGGCAGGGTGAGGTGGAGCAGTGCGGGGAGGAGGAGGGAGTGCAGGGCGAGGATGGGGATGCGGTGCTGTGCGGTGCACGTGGTGCTGCTTCCCCCGTGCGGCAATCCCCACCACCCGCACAGCTGACTCGGCACCACAGGCAGGGCAGCCTTCCTCCCAACCTGCACTTCCTCCCACACTCCATGTCCCCTTCGCCACCCAACTCCCGCTCCGCCTCTCCTTCCAATCTCATTCCCCCGCTGCCCCACCCGCCCTCCTCCCTCCATCCCCCTGTGCGCCGGCGGTTACTGCAGCAGCAGCAGCAGCAGCAGCAGGTGGGCGAGCAGGGGGGAGCGGGTGCAAGGCACAAGTCAGTGATGGTGGAACATGGCGTGGAGGCACGGCTGTTGGCAGCGAGGGAGGGGGAGGGGAGCGGGGAGGAGGGCGAGGGTGCATGGTTCAAGGGCGGTGCTGCTGCACTGCCTGGTCACGGGCTGGATCGAGCGGCACCAGCAGCGGCAGGAGGAGCAGCGAGTGAGGCAGTGGGGGCCAGTGGGGGGCGGGGCAAGTCAGGGCTGGGACCATCCCGGCGCACCAAGAGCATGGCCTTCCCCTCCTCCCTGCCCTTCACACCTCCCCATCCCGCCGCCACTACGCAGCGAAGCCCTGCACGCGAGCAGCAGGGCGACAGCCACAACACCCTCCCAGACTCTGCTGGGGAGGCACGCAGCAAGACCAGTCCCCTCCGGCCACCAGCTGTGCCCACACGTGCTGCCAGCCCCACCCTTATGCTCACTGCTGCCAGCACCAGGAGCAGCCGCCTGGGCCGTGCGGGCAGGAGCCTGGGCGCTGGAGAGCTCGCTCGCCTCGTGGCCGCCGCCTCCTCGCCGTCCTTCCTGCCGCCCGGTGCATGGACGGCGTGCGGCGCAGGGAAAGACGTGGAGCAGGACCTGTATGGTGAGGGGGAGGCAGAGGCAGAGGGGCGTGGGGAGGGGTGGGGGGCGGGCAGAGGGGCGGAGAGGCAGGCGAATGGGAGGGTGCATGAGGTAGGCGTGGGAGGGGACGTGGTGGGGGCAGGCGTGCAGGGGTGCGGTGTGCCGTGTGAAGGAGGTGTTGCGGGTGAGGTGGGGTGGGTGGGGCATGCAGGGACAGATGAGGAGGGCGCGAGGGAGGTGGGCGGGGGAGGGCGGGAGGAGAGGGTTGAGGGAAAGAAAGAGGGGAAGAAGAAGGTGCGGAGGAAGGGGAAGAGTGTGGATAGCATGGGCGCAGTGGCAGTGGTAATGGCAGGGGCAGGGGATGCGGACGATGGGGGCAGTGGCGGTAGCAGTGTTCGAGGGCCAACGGGGAAGCAAAGGAGGGAGGGCAGCAAGGGTGGGGGCAGTGCAGAAGGCATTGGTATCCCAGCAGCAGGTTCTGTGGAAGGCGAGGGGGAGCAAGGCGCAGGCAGGACAGGGAGGCGGGAGAGGGCGAGCAGTGCAGGCAAGGCAGGGGTGGCACAGAAGCAGCAGCACCGGCGCCACCGCACTGAGCTGCTGGACGGCCATGGCAGCAAGGCACGCTGGGGGAGAGGGGGCAGCGCAGGCATGCAGGGCGACTTGTTCCCTGCGCCCAGCAGCCCCGTGTCCCCTCAAGCCCGTGCTGCTGCTGCTGCGCCGTGGGAAGCAGGCACAGGCGGGTTGGGGTCAGGGGGAGCGGGCGCCGGTGGCAAGGCGGGCAGGCTGAGGCGGGGGTTGAGCGAGGCGGTGGGCATGGGCGCGCACATGCGAGCGGGGGACATGGATCTAGCGCACTGGGTGCACACAGGGGAGCGCGCCCAGGGGAAATGGCCTCGCGCGGAGGAGAGTGCAGCGCTGTGGGGGGGGATGGACAGGGTTGGGGAGTTTCCAGGAGAGGCGATGGTGAAGGGCATGTGGGGCGCGAGCAAGGTGAGTGCGCCGCGCAGTGGTGGCAAGGGGGCGCATGGGGCGACGCACGGCGGGGCGGAGGAGCGGAGCGAGCTGGAGAGCGAGTGGGAGCGGGAGAGGGGCAGGCAGGTGCAGCAGCATGGGCGCACCAGGAGCTGGGTGGGGGGGGCGACCGGGCAACGGGACAGGGGGAGGGCGGGTGGGGAGGGAGGGGAGGAGGGGATGAGGGAGGAGAGTGAGGAGGAGGGGGGGAAGGAGAGGGCGTGGGCGTTGGAAGCGCAGCGGCAGATGCAGCGAGGGGGGCAGCAGCACCTGGCAGGGCACGGGCTGGCGAGGTGGACGTCTCTGGCGCCGGGGCTGGCAGCCGCACAGGCCGCACATGCAGCACACACAGCGCTGGGTGCACACGCAGTGAAGACACAGCAGACAGTAGCAGAGGCAGGCGAGGCAGGAGCAGCCAGTGCGGGCACGGCAGGGGGCTCGGGCACGCGAGGTCAGCCCACCACTGGCTCTCCTCTGCCCTTCCCCTTGCTGGCAGGAGCAGTGACGGCGGCAGCAGGGCAGGCAGGGGCGGTGGGGCGAGTGAGGCTGGTGCGCGCAGTGGGGGGCAGCATGAGTGTGGGCATGCACAAGCTGAGCGAGGTGCTGTGGGACGTTGCTGCTGCTGCCGCTGCTGCTCCTGCCAATCCAGAGAGCGCCCCTGCCTGTACTCACAGCAGTATTGAAGGCAACGCTCATGCCTCTCCTCTGCATGCGTCCACCTCGGAGTCACAGCAGCAGCAGGCAGGAGCAGCGTTGCCCCACAGTGTGCCCAACAATCTGCTTACCTCTCTTCCAAGGCTCGCCCCCCTCACCTCCCCCGCCTCCTCCTTCTCCTCCCCCTCGCCTGCCTCCTCTGCCTCCTCCGCCCCCAGTTCGCGTTCCCTCTCCCGCACGCTGGGGGAGGGCAGGGCACAGGGCGCGTTGGCACATGTGAAGGATGAGGAGGAGAGAGACGGGAGGAGGAGGCAGCCGGGTGGCCGCGCAGTGGAGCACAACGGCCCTGCTGTGTCGCCCCTCGCCGTCTCTCCGCATGCCCCAGTGCACGTGCATGGCAGCACGGGGGCACGGCAGGGAGGGGGCAAGGGCATGAGCAGGGTGGTGCGGTCAACCAGCAGCATGGCTGCCATCACCGCCTCCTCCTCCCTGCTCGCCCACCTCCTTGCTGCCGCCTCCTCCGCCTCCCCCTCCGCCACTGCTGCTGCTGTGGTTGGTGCTGCCAGCCCTGCTGTGGCGCGCCTGGAAGGAGGGCCGGCTGGAGCGCTGTGGGGGGAGGGCGAGCGGGCAGCGGGCGCGGCAGGGAGTGGCGCGGGGCATGCGGCATGGCAGCAACGGGAGGGAGGGAGTGCCTGCTCGCCGTCTGCTGACGCGCTGGGAGCGGTGCCAGGGGTTGAGGATGCTGGGGCAGCTACAGAGCAGCAAGGGGAGGTGGGGGAGGGCGGACAGGGAGCAATGGGCAGTGGCAGGGAGCGGCGGCTGGAGAAGATGCCGAGTGACGGCTTCCAGACAGCCATGCGGTCCGAGCGAGCTGCCGCACGCAAGGGCAGCAGGAGGAAGAGCCGCAAGCACAGCAGCGGCGCCAGCACTGACGCTGCTGCTGATGCTGCAGGCGCTACCGCACATGGCAGTGGCGGGGGCGATGAGGATTTAGAGGAGGTGGAGGGTGCAGATGGGGATGGGGGGGCATGGGTGCAGGGCAGCAGGGACGAGGCAGCGGAGGTGAGTGTGGAGGAGCAAGGCGTGGCGGCAGGGGCGGGTAAGGCAGTGCGGGCCGAGGAGCAGTCACTCGGTGCCTCTGTCCCAGGCAGCAGCGGCAGCGCAAGCGCAGAAGCACAGTCGGGGAAGGGCGAGGGCGAGGCAGGCAGCAAGGCAGAGGGAAAGGGTGGTGGGAAGGCGGGGGGGAAGGTACCCCGGGCGAAGCAGAAGCTGGGGCGGGGCGGCAGGGAGGTGTTGCGGCGAGGGCTGTCGAGTGTGCATGAGGAGTACGAGGTGCACATGGACATGCAGCTGGGCAGTGGGCAGTTCGGGGTCATCCGCATGGCGCAGCACAGGGAGAGCGGGGAGAAGTTCGCCTGCAAGAGCATCAGCAAGAGCTGCCTCAAGGTGCCCCCGCCCGCACTCCCCAATCCCGCCCCCTCGCCAGTCCATTAGTCCTTTCGCTAGCCGTTTTCTACTCTCTCATGCGCACTGCTCTCATACAACCACTTTCACCCACACCTTGTCTCTCTCACACCCTCTCCCACTCCTCTCTCGCACCACCCGTTCCCCTTCCCCCCTTGGTCCGCGGCATCAGAGCAAGGCGGACGCGGACGACATAAGGCGGGAGGTGGCCATTCTGGAGCTGCTGGCGGACCACCCACACGTCGCCCGCCTGCACGCCGCCTTCGAGGACCACCAGGTGCCCGCCTCGCCTGCTCGCCTGCTCGCCTGCTGGGGTGCTGGGGTGCTGGGGTGCTGGGGTGCTGGGGCGTGCACGGCATGGCACCATCACCTTACTGTTCTGCATCAGAGCCTATGCCCCACCCGCCTGCCTTCCACGCTCACGCCTGCCTCCCTGCTCCCCCCTCCGCACTGCTCCCCCTCCTGACTTCCTCTCCTCGCCTTCCCTGCTTGCCTCCCCGGGCGGTGGTACCCCTGCCAGGAGGTGCATCTGATAATGGAGCTGTGTCGGGGCGGCGAGCTGTTTGACCGCCTCAAGCTCGTGGGCACGTACAGCGAGCGCGAGGCGGCGGTGCTGCTGCGCACGCTGGTGGGCGTGCTGCAGCGCTGCCACGCCATGGGCGTGGTGCACCGCGATGTCAAGCCCGAGAACATCCTGCTCGTCTCCAAGCGCTCCCACACCGACATCAAGCTCATTGACTTTGGTGTCGCCGCCTTCCTCAAGCCCGGTCCGTCAACCGCCCACCGCTCCCCTCCACCATCATCGCCTTGCTCACGCTGTGTATCCGCGTCAGCATGCAGTTCTACCCTTCCTCCCCTGCCATGACCACCTCGTTCAAGCTCGCCAGCACCCACTCACCCCCCACCCTTCCACGCCCCGACCCCCATCCCATCCTCCCTGTCGTTCCCCATCCCCTCCCCCTTTCGTCCCCTTCCCCCAGGTGTGGAGCTATCGGAGTTCGTGGGGTCGCACTACTACATGGCGCCCGAGGTGATCGAGGGGCAGTACGGCGCAGAGGCGGACATCTGGAGCGCGGGCGTGGTGCTCTACGTGCTGCTGTCGGGGGTGCCGCCCTTCTGGGCCAAGAGCGAGGAGGGCATCCTGCAGGCTATTCTCGACTGCCACCTGCGCTTTAAGGCGGATGCGTGGCGCACACGCAGCGATGCTGTGAAGCACCTGCTGCGCTGCATGCTCACTCGCAGCCGCACCGCTCGCATCACTGCAGAAGGCATTCTGGGTGAGGCGCTGGGGTGGGCGTGGAGTGGGGGTGAACGGGGGGAGGATGAAAAGGGTGCATGGTATGAGGGTGTGGATGGAGAGGAGAGCTTGGGGTTGCAGGGAGGAGAAAAATCTGCACTGTGCTGTGCCTGCTGCTGCTCTGCCTGCTGCCCGGTGTGTGTGTGCGTTGCATGTCGCTCAAGCGTCGTGGGTGTTGCCATGCAGCGCCTCCCTCTCCACCCATGCCCATTCTCCCCACATCCCCCCTCCCCCCCCCCCCTCATCTTCGTCCCCGCCCTGCCTCCCCTCCAGCCCACCCGTGGATGCAGGCCTTTTCCCAGCCACTGCCAGCGCCAGAGTGCGCACCATAATGGCATCCCCATCCCACCCACCAACGCACACCGCCGCCTGCAGCATTACGCGAACAATGCTGTGTGCCACACGTGCATGCACTGTGATGTGATGTGATGTGATGTGATGTGATGTGATGTGATGTGATGTGATGTGATGTGATGTGATGTGATGTGATGTGCGCCATGCATGAGCATATGTGGCATGGCATGGCAAGCTGATCTGCATGGTACCCACACCCCCTGCCATGCTGCACCTCCACTGGCTGGACGGCCTTGGTGTGCGCTGCGCACCCTGCTGCCTCTCCTCAAATATTCTCGAGGATCACTTAACCCAACCCATCCCAACCTGACCCGACCGGTTCACCAACCACCTAGCATGATCACACAAAAAAAGGTTCTGGTGTAGTAAATCAGTCGTAGTATTTATTCGTTGATGTTAACACTGAGAGTGGTTTCTAATGTAATTAATCGGATTTTGTTTCAGCATTCCCCGCCCTTTTGCCGAGTCCACCGATCGTCGCAATAACGCGTCAATCAGCCGGCGCGAACAACAATCACCCCTCGCCCCTCCCACTGCTTCCTAAATTTCTAATCGGCCCCACCGTATGCAACGGGGATCACTTCACTGCGCACATGCCCACCTCCCGCCCCGCGTGACCTCGCCGCCGAGGCGCGTCACCGCTCCACATCCCCGCTACGCGCCGTCGCACCCACCACGCGCTCTCCCTTCCTCCCTCCTATTCACTCCCCCTCCTGCTGCTCCGCTTCCTCCCCCGTCACTCCTTCCCTCCTCCCCCTCCTCTCCCCCGCGGCCCTCACCATGCGTCGAGCTGCCTGGTCCGCCGTCGCGTCGTTGCGCCGATCGGCCACAGCCACCACCAGGGACGCCCCCCGCCGCACCGCCCACGCCCACGCTAGCGCGGACCACTGGTGGCGGAACTTTGCGCATTCCTGCAACCGGCATCCCGCCGCGGGCGGCGGAGGCAGCGCGGGCAACGCCAGCAGCAGCCCCGGCCCCGCCATAACCCGCGCCACCCGCCAATTCTCCGCCTCCAGCGCCGGCGGAAGCGGCAGCGGGGGCGGAGGGAGGGCGGGGGGGAGGCAGGCGGAGTGGTACGTGGACCGGCACGGCGTGCGGCACTTCCAGCGGCGGGGGCCGCTGGCATGGCTGGCGCAGGCGACCTCCAGGCAGACCGCGCATGGGGGGTGGCGCGTGTCCCCCGAGGTGGTTGTATTGGCGGTGGGGGCGACGGGCGGCGCGGCGGCGTGGGTGTACGTGAGTCACGTGCAGGAGGTGCCGTACACGCAGAGGCGGCACTGGGTGCTGCTGTCCGTGGCACAGGAGAAACGCATCGGTGAAGAGGCGTTCCAAGAGGTGGGGGGGGGGAGGGAGAGGATGCGACGAGGCGAGGACACAGCAGGGGGCATATTTTGAGGGGTTTGAATGAGTGGGAGAGGATGAGAGAGCGTGGGTGTGAATGGGGCATGTGGCCGTGCCCGGGAGCTCATGCATGCCACCACCTGCCCTTCCCTCCTGCCCCCTCCATGCTACCGCACACCCCTCATCCCCGCTGTCCTCCCCTTCTCTTCCTGTTCCCCCCGTCCCCACACCCCCTGTGGCTTGCGCTGCCGCAGGTGAGGGAGCAGCATCGCGACCGCCTGCTGCCGTCCACGTCAGCAGAGGCGCTGAGAGTGCGCCACGTGGCGACCAAGATCATCCAGGCCACCACGGAGCACGTTGACCCGGTACAGTTGCACTCTGTCTGCGCCCGTGTGTGTGTGTGTGTGTGTGTGTGTGTGTGTGTGTGTGTGTGTGTGTGTGTGTGTGTGGCGTGCAACTTGTGATCATAGGGCCTAATCAGCACATGGATACGTGGATGGGTAGTTAAAATGCAACTCCTAGCCTTGCCCCTCTCCCCTCTCCCTTCCGAACGTTTTCTCTCTTCTCTCATCTCCCGTCTGCCCCTCCTATTCCTTCTTTTTCCCCAGGGCAAGCCCCCCCGGGTCGAGTACTGCCCTCTCTCCCCCTCCTCCAGCGCCCCCGCGCACCACCCCGCCTCCACCCCCTCGCCCCCCGCCTCTGGTGCTGTGGGCGGGGGGAAGCAGGGCGGGGGGGAGGGGGCGACGGGGGGAGCAGCAGGCGAGGGCGGTGGGGATGCGCTGCTGGAGGACAGCGAGTGGCTGGACAGGCAGCAGCGGTGAGTGGCGTGCACTGCACACCTGCCACTCTGCATGCATGCACACCTTCTTGCGCACACACCTCTACCTCCTCCTCTCTCTCCACGTGTGCACGTGGCTTTGAGTGTGTGCCCCTCGTGCTGCTGCACCTTTTGATGCCCTCATGCTGCTGCCACCGCTGCTGCCACTGCCACTGCATGTGGGCGTGGCAATGCGTGCAGGCAAGCGCAGGCAGTACGAGGCGAGGGGCGGCCGTTTGAGGAGCACTTGAAGGGGCTCACATGGCAGGTGACGTGACAGGCGAGTGAGGTGAGAGGTGGGTGAGGTGATGGCTGGCAGGGCGATGAGCATGTAAGTATGTGTATCATTCTCCCTGCCGTCACACCATGCAGCACCAAGCCTGCTGCCCTGTCTCGCCACAGCCCCGCCCATCTACACCCCTCTCAGCATGCATGTCCGCCCTGCTCCTCTGCGCCTCCTCCCATGCGCCCCGAGGCCCGTTACCTCTTCCGTTGACGGTTTGACCCACCCGTCGTGCCCCCCTCCCAGGTGGCGGTGGTGGATGCGCCGGTGCTGAACGCCTTCTGCCTGCCCAGCGGCAAGGTGGTCGTGTTCTCGGGGCTGCTCAAGTGCTGCCCCGATGATCACCAGCTAGCCACCGTCATCGGCCATGAGGTCACCACCATGGGGGATGTGTGGGGCATGCATGGGGGTTATTCATGGGTGTTCATGTTCTGAATGAGCTCCTCCCTTCCCTGTCGCCCTCCTCCTCTCATTCCGTCCTTCGCTCACTCCTTACCCCTCTTTCTGATCCCTATCCTGCCCCTCTGGGCCCGCCCATCCCCTGCACGAGCAGGTGGCGCACATAGTGGCGAGGCATGGAGCGGAGCGCATGAGCAGTGCCATGCTGGTGGCGGTGGTGCAGATGATCATCGTCAACTTCATTGTCAGCTGGCCGGGCTTCATCCGCACCGCATCTGACCTCCTCATCTCGCTGCCCTTCTCCCGCATGTACGCCCCCCTCCTCTCTCCTACCCTCCTGCCCCCTCTTGCGCCTCCCGCATGCCACATTCCTCGCCCTCAAGCATGCCCTTTGCCCCGTCCCTCGCTCCACCTTGTAACGTACATAAAGCTGGGCCAGTTCATAGCGTCCGCGCCCCCGCTCTTCCCTTTTGAGGCACCTCTCGTCCCTCTTCTCCCCACCTTGGTCTTGCCTCTCTCTCCGTATCACTCCCCCCGGACCTTCTCCCCCCCGCTGCTTGCCACGCCCTCAGCGTCTGTCTCCCCCGGTTGCCGTTCTCCGTGCCCCCCCTTGCTGTGGTGCGAGCAGGCACGAGTTGGAGGCGGACCGCATAGGGCTCATGCTCATGGCCAAGGCGGGATACAACCCCGATGCTGCTCCAGGTGCGATGCCATGCCACGCACACGCACCACACCGCTGCCATGCCATGCACGTGCTGCTGTCTCCACGCCACATGTGCTGCTCATGCCATGCTGTCATGCGCATGTCCCACCTTTGTACTGTAATGCCCATCCGGGCATGGGACCTGGCTTTCACACAACCCGCGCAGATCTTCGACCACCACACCCCCTCCCCAACACCCCAGGCGTGTACGAGATGTTGGACCATGCAAGCAGTGGCGGCAAGGAGCGGCGACCAGCACCGGCACCGGAGGGGGCGGACAAAGCAGGGTGGGGCGACTTCATGTCCACGCACCCTGCAGGCACGCGCAGAGCAGCGCTGCTGCGCGGCAGTGCGAGCATGCAGGAGGCGAGGCGCGTGTACCGAGAGACAGTGGAGAGGGAGGCAGGGGTGCGAGGTCGGGCGTGGGGCGGGGGGGACTCGTGGTTTGGCTTCTGATGCTCTCCTCTGAGTGACCCATCATGCCATGAGAGGTGCTTGCTGCTAGCCTCCATGATGCTCACTGCTTGTTCCATGATTCTTGTGTCATGTTATTGCTCATTGCCGTTTCAGGCACAGCTTTGTTTTACAAGTTACAAGCTTACAAAGCATCTAGTGGGATTCAATTAGCCAAATCAGCAGCCACAACAGGCTTGGATGCAGCTGCTCCCTCACAGTGAGCTGCTGCCACCTAAGCAAGGACCGTGTGGATAATGCCCCCTACTCTAGGCAACTCTTGTTGCCGTATCAATGCAACTCTAACACGCTCACAGTCGCAGCAGCAAACAGCCAGTGCACCAATGCATATTCTACCCACCTCTACTCTACTACAAGTGCTGGCTTCCATGCAGCGAGCACCCTTTCAGGCGACCCACTGCTTGCACCATTGGCATCAGCACCACCCCGGCTTTGCCCGAGGAAGCAGCACCTTACTCACACCCCCCAGCCCGGGCGGCATGCGCGTGCGGATGGGCTTGAGCTTGCAGCCTATGGCGTCGAGAGAAAGGTCCTCCGGGCGGAAGGAGGGCTGGGGCGAGTGGCACACGGAGGAGGGCGAAGGAGGCGACAGGCAGAGGCAGGAGGAGTGGGAGATGGAGGAGGAGGAGGAGGTGATGGAGGAGGCATGGGGAGAGTCGTCAGAGGAGGGCGAGGAGGAGGACGAGGAGGAGAGGGAGGGGCCGTAGGCAGTTGGGTCGTAGTGGTGTAGAGAGAGAGGCATGCACGAGTGCGGGCGGTACTGTATGGTGGAGCGAGGGGGCAGGGAGGACGCCCATGGGAGGGGCAGAGGGGACGCGTGCAGGAAGGGCGGCGGGAAGGAGGAGCGGGGAACGGCGGAGGGGGGGCGTGGGGGCGAGCAGGGGGGGCGGGGAAAGCCTGTGGAGCGGAGGAATTTGTCAAGGGGGGAGTAGAGGCGGTGGGGGCACTCCACTGTCACCAGTGACCCGCTGGCGGGCACCTGGGGCACCGTGAGGAGAGCAGGGGAGGGGGAGAGGGAGGGAGGGGAGAGAGGGCAAGGCATACGTGGGTGGGCGCACGTTGCGTGCATGGGAGGTGCTGGTGCAGCATGCACACCGCTTCTACACAGGCCTCCCAGCAAGAGCCGCTTTGGCTCAACGCTACCACGCTCGTGGCAGCGCACAAGTTGAAGAGCGGCAGGGGGAGTGAGTGAAGGTGACAAGACAAGAAGCAGTGTTGCGAGGTCAGTGTGGCAGCTGGGGCTGACCTGGAACCAGGCGGCGAGGTGCGGTGGTAAGTGTGCGTGCAGGTGCAGAGCGTCGTCTCGGAAGGCAGAGTGCTCGCCCACGAGCACCAGACACGCACATGTGATCCGCCGCACCTGCTCCGTTATGTCCCTGCGACTGCTCTCACCACCGCACCGCATGGCATGGCATGAGGGGGAGTTCAGGAAAAGGGTGCGAGGATGAGCGGGGGGTGAGGAGGGTTGCAGCAATATAGAGAGTGGTGGTGTGAGAGTGTGAGCAGGTGGAGTGGTGGTGAGAGAGCGTTTGCAGCGTGGTGGAGGGCGGTGAGTGCAGCAGTGGCAGGAGGAGGCGAGGCGTCTCACTTGTTGAAGGCGTCTGCATACTGCGCCACGGCCCGCGGATCCCTCTCCTCGCCCTCCTCTGCTCGCTGCACGCACCACAGACGAACACATGGGAGGACGGGGGCACATGGGCACACGCACACACGAGTGTCTCCGATCAGCCAGGCGAGCAGGGTGATATGAAGCAGAGCAGCAGCAGCAGAGAGCAGGTAAAGCGAGGATGAGAGGTGGAGAGGGCCGTGGTGAGTACGGGCACGTACCAGATGCGAGGGCTGCGTCCGTGGTGAGAGCGGGTGAGCCGCAAGCGACTGACATGTGAGGTGTGTGGCGCTCTGCAGGGACGCACCAACACAGGCAGCACGTCGCAATCAGCAGCCCGTCAGTACTCACAACGTGCATGGAGCGAGGGCGACTAGAAACCTACAGGACATGGCACGGAGTGCAAGCGGCGCGTGCATGATGCCCGGCACAGGCGCGAGATATGAGTGGTGGTCGCAGCAGCAGCAGCAGCAGCAGCAGCAGCAGCAGCAGCAGCAGCAGCAGCTGACCTTGGTGTGCGTAGCTGGACTGAGGTATCTGCCAGAGAAGGCGCCCGACACAACGGCGGGCAGCCCGGATAGAGACAGCACCGACAGCAGCAACTGCACGCCACAGGACGGTTGCACAAGGGGGTGGAGGTGCGGGTATGAGTAGGAATTGGAAGAGAGACAAACGAGACAAGGTGTGGGATTGGCACAATGGGTGAGCAGGGTTGGTGGAGGGATGTGCAAGAGGCGGAAGCAGGTGGGCATGAGGGGGGCGGCGGGAGGAGCGCACCTTGTTGAACGCCCACTCGCTCCACGTGGGCGTGCGGCATACCGGCGACACCAGGATGAGCGCCCGCACCAGCTCCGGCCGCTTGATCTGATGCGCCACGTGGCACGGGATGGCACACACGTGGGCAGACGGGGGGGAGGATGAGCAAGGGGGTACAGCATGAGGAGGATTAGCAGAGGAAGAGTAGCAGTCAGAGTGAAGACGATATGCAGGGACAAGGTACAACAAGTGCATTCAACTGAACGGCAGTGTGCGGCTGGTCCCCGTGCCGTGCAGTGCAGCAGTGCATCCGCGAGGTGCGAGGCTTACCGCGAGCAGCGTGAGCACGTACGCGCCCGCCGTGACGCCAAGGCCCGTCACCGCGGGGAGACTGCACAATAACACCAGGGGAGCGGGCACCAGGGGGAAATGGAACAAGGGCATGTCAGCAAGGGCGGGCCGTGAGTCGTGAATGCACGGCGTAGGACGGCGAAAATGACGGCGCAAATGACGGTATTGCGACGGGCGCAGGAAAGGGCCTGGGGCTCACCCGAAGTGCGTGATGGCGTCCGCGACCTGCTCCGCCAAGTCATCCGCCGACAGCTTTCTCCGCTGCTGCCGCCCTGATGCCGCTCCCACCTGCCGCGTGCGCACGGGGGACGGGACGGGACGACGAGGGGAAGCGGAGTTGGAGGGGAGTCGGGGAGGGAAAAGGGGGGAGAGGGAAGCTGGCGAAGCAAGTGGGGAGAGGGCTCTGGTGAGGCGGGTGGGGGGAGCAACGCGGGGAGGCATTCATAGCAACCAGCGCGACAGCTCCGCTAATGATTCCACCGCGACGAGCGCTCACCTCGTGGTCGGGCGCGTCCACGTGGAAGACGCAGAAGTGCTGCCGCAGCAGCGGCGCGGTGTCGGGGCACCTAAAGAGCGCTCCGAAGCACGACGAGTCTGCGCGCACGGGAATCGGGAGCGCGCACGTGGGGGTATGGGAAGAGGAGGGGTCGCGTGGAAATTTAGTGCGAAGCGGAACGGGTTAGCAGGGTGACTCGAAAGTAAGAGGGTAAGCTGGCGGAGTTGACGGCTGGGTGCGCGGCGTGCGGCAGGGAGGAAAATTCGAGGGGGGGAACAGCATTACGAGGCGAAAGGGTTGAGGAAAGCAGTCGGCTTGGCTATCACGGGACGGCAGGACAGAAGACAGTCGCGGCGCGCTTACGATCGAGAGCGATGTCGTGATACGTGAAGAGCGGGTGATTGCGGCGGTCGCCCGATATAGTCACGCGCAAGGGGCCGAACCGAGTGGGCACGAGTTCCACCTGATGGCGCATTGGCGCAAGTGGCGGGAAAGACCGGGGAAGGTGGGAGGAACGAGGTGAGGGAGGTACAAGGGGGAGTAGCGGACTGGTTATTACCGCACACGAAGTGCAAGCGACCTACGGAATCGGCGTTTGCTCTTGACGCTTGGGCATGGGCACGGCGGCAAATTTCATATCTGAATACCTGTTCGGGCCACGTGTCATCGAACGACGGCGCGCCTGTGAGCCACTCGCCGTCGCCAGAGTCGCTGCTGCTGTGGCCGCAGCAGCTGCACGCAGCGCTGCTGTCCCAGCTGCCGCAATCCGCTTCCGCCTGCGGCTGCTGCCGCTGCTGCCACGACTCCAGATGCGCCCACGACGGTTGTAACCACGCCCAGTCGCCTTCCATCCCCTCTGCGTGCCTTGAGAGGGTTTGACCACTTCTCTAGCTCAATCACTTGACCTTCGATAACTAAAACGTCGTCGCAGGTACTACAAGCTGCTTGGGGATTAGTAGAAAGAATGTCGCCTCCGACTGCTGCGGACGTAGAGAGGGAGAGAGAGAGCCTTTTAATGAGTCTGCCTGTGTATGCTTCGTTACCAAGCTTAGCATGCGCAGGGGAAGAGGCTCAAAATTATTGGGGGCTTGTGAGGAATAATTGTCAAGATTGAGGGAACCCAATAATTGACGGTGATAATTCCATCTCCTTGCTCGCTAGCTGCTGATGAATGCTTCTTCCATTCTCCTTCGCCTTCGCCACTTTGACTTGGCTTGCCGCGCCGCGCTCTGTCTAGCTGGCGACGAAACCAATGTTACATCAGCATCAACCCGCAAATTTGCAGCAGCACCATCGTTGGTTGAGCTGACTGTGTGGTGCAACAGCGCCTTGGTCAAACTCTCACACACCACCCTTGGCTAGTCTGGCCGAATCAGCTTCGCGTCGCTCAGCCAATCCGTGCTGGGGGGAACGAAGTTCCCGCCCGTGCGACGGGTGATGCTGTGACACCAAACCAAACAACCAAGTGCACGGTAAGGCCAGCCCTGGGCGACGACAGCTCAGCATCGCGCCACGAGAACAGCATGCAATGGGCCCAAGCTGTAAATTTCGCTGTTTTCCCCATGGGTTCCCGGTGCCCACGGAGTCCGCCCTCTTCTCACGGCGACCTCGCTGTAAATGGTTTGTTTGCCCAGATCCATATGCGATGCGGTGGGTAAAGGTCAATCCCGATCGTCCATCCAAGTCAAGGCAGATAGCGATGGTGCACTGCACGAGTTGGTGGTTCGGGCGACGGTAAATGGGGAGGTTTTCCCGAAGCACAAAACAGCGCAGAAAAATGCAGGCCAAAGTCTTCCGTTCAGCGTGCCTTGTTTATAGTATAACTGGCATACTTTACGCTAATTGAAACCTTGTCAAAATATATTATTGTGCACCATTTGTCTCTTCTGATTAGGGTACCTGTTACGGGTGCAATGTATCGAGGTAGCGATGATTGCACTAAGTTGGAAAACGAGTACAAGCGAAGGCATGAGCGAATACTTATAAGCGAAACATGCAAACGGTAACGCGG